AATCAAAGATATTATCTACTTAAAAACATAACTCTTCAAACTGTTTTGGTGCTAGTTTGGTTTAAGTGATCATCAGGGAGAGTATGATTATAATTGAGCCTTTACTATTTCAAGATTTGTATTGGACAATATAATGATAATAACAACTAATAGATCAAAAGCTTATAAGTTTGATGAAGAATTAGAAAGAATTAATATGCAACTTATTAAACAGAACATTAGTAACAAGCAATTAACAAATGAAGAATTAAAGTTAGAAATATCTTCTGTACAAGCAAAAAAAAAACAATTAGAGTTGCTAATCTCTGAATATGTTAATGATAAAAAAGAAAAAAAAGAATGATAATTAGCTTAAAATCAGACATCTGATTTGTATTGGTATGTTTTGTCATCTTCTATTGTAAAATTTTATTATTTTATTATTAGTATTTTTTTTTTCTTTTACCATTGTATATAGAGATATATGTTAGTTTACTCAGCTTAGTTATAACCAGATGCAGTGTTGGAAATCATATATGTTTACAGTGTTCACAGTAAAAATAAATTTTTTTTTTATTTTATGTTCATATTTGTGAACATAAAGAATTTTTATCTAATTAATAAACCTTTATTTGTGATTATTATATTTTTTTAATGTGAACATAAAAAAAAAAGTATGTTCACAAAAATCATCATATTGTCTTTGAATTTCCAACACTAACTGGATGGTCTGTTCATCTGAATTTGTTGATTTAGCAGATTTATTTGAAAGTAGCAATTGTATATTCTTAGCCCTATTAAAAGTATAAAAGTAAAGGTTTTTTATGCTAAAATAAAGAAAACTCAGTTGAGTTAAACACTTTGAAAACATAACAAGTAGAAGTAGTAACTCTAAGTAGTTTATATGTCTTCAATAAAATGATTATAAAAAGTCTTTAAAAAAATAGTAACAGTAACAGTAACAGTAAGCTATTTTTTGTAACATTGTTGATGGTTGTCTCTTTTCAATTCAAGATTCTTTAAAGACTAGTCATCCTATGAATTATAACCTTCCACATAGTTACATGTGAAGTAAAGACCTACACTTTTACCAAAATGCAGTAATAATGAATTTTTGCTTGAAGAGAAAAAAAGGATTGTAACTTATATCATAATGATAGGTGCAATAAAAATTTATAGTAGTACAAAACCTACCCTGCAGTGTAACATATCCTCTGATCATTAACCGAACCGACAAATTAAATAGAACTATTAGTTAACCAGTTAAGCAACTGGTTGGTCAAAAGCTGATTGATAACTGAATAATACCTCTTACTAATCATAAAATTTATTTTTTTTGTATTCATTTGTATTTATTACTATAATACTGGATCTGATTATAAATTTTGTTAGTATTCATTAGAATATTTTGAATTTGAATTACTTTTAACAAAAAATTTATTTATTTTAAAAAAAATCTTTAAAAAACATTTCATAAAATTGCTATATAAAATGACTATTTTAAAGCAACAAAAAACTGTTCATATAATTTAAACCCATATGTATCAAATAGAATATTAAATTTTTATTAATTGTTAATAATGTTAAAAGAAATGAAATATAATGATAATATATATTAATGGTTAACATTAAATGTGGTAATCAAAAAATTATCACGGTTTAACAATATTATATTGCAGATCATAGAACATATTTGGTGACCATTAAGTACATTTTCTAATATTTGTATATAAATCTAGTTATTATAAATAAAAAAAATTATATTTCTATTTAGAGGCCTGCAATTGCCTATTTTTAAGGCCTGGCTCAGCCCGCAATTAGGGTTAAAAATTTTTTTTAGGCCCAGCCCAGCCTGCATTTAGGGTTATTATTTTTTTGCTGGCCCAGCCTGCATATGTTAAATTTTTTCTTTAGCCCAGCCCAGCCTGGCCTGATCTGCAAAAATTTCTTATATAATTTTACAAATTTTTAGGCCTGCACTGACCCACAATTATAAAGTTTTTCAAATTTTTCAGCCCGGCCTAGCCCACAATTATAAAATTTTGCTTCAGACCTGGTCCAGCCCGCACTGGCCTGCAATTATAAAGTTTTGCAAATTTTTTAGCCTGGCCCAGCTTGCAATTATAAAATTTTGCTTCAGGCCTGACCTGGCTTGCAAAAAATTGTGGCCTGAGCCAGGCCAGACTGGGCTGCAGGACCCAATGCAGGCCTCTATTTCTATTATATATTAAAAATTATTTGCAAATCAACTCTTTTTGCTGATCATCTGTACATAAATTGTAAAAAAGCAATTTAGAAGTTTACTGAAAAATAACTGTCTAAACCAACTTTACAGGTCTAAGAAAAATGATAGAGCTTGCAAAAAAGGTATAACAAAAGTAAGAAAGAAAAAACTTAGATAACTGGCCAAGAAGATAAAATAAAAAACATTTTGGTTAATTCTGTAAAAAACAGAATTAGAAAAATTCACTGCAATCTGAAAATGCAGATCCATAAATCACTACAATACATGAATAGGAAAACAAAACAAATATGTAAATTAGTAAATATGCAAAGAAACCCAATTTAGATAGTAATAGATATAAGATATAGAAAATTCTAGAACAACAAGTAGCAAACAGGAATTACTGATATTTAGACTAAAATAAGTAGTACATAAAATTAGAAAGAAAGTCTAATGTTAATCTATATCAAAAGAGTATATTAGTAGCAAACAATATATATAACAAAGTCTTTTTCAATCAAGCAAGCAAAGCTTTTGCAACACCAAATAGAGAAGATGAAATTGTTATCATGCTAACTGAACAAAACCCAACAGAGGTTGCACTGCTATGTATAACTAAAGAAATAATTAAAAAAGTAGAAAAAGATCAACATAAACAAACAAAGCAAAAATATCATTATAATAGAAGAACTAGTAGTAGAGTAGTCACAAAACAAAGGAAAAGAAACACAATGACAGTTAAATGAATTAAACAGAAATCAAAAAGAATCAAACAAAGCAATACAAAAAAAGAAGACAGAAAATGAAAAAACAGTTGAAAAAGAAACACAAGATAATACTAAAAGCCTACAAAAAGAGAGAAGTATAGAGGGAAGTATAGAGAGAAGTATAAAGGAAAGTATAGAGGTAAGTATAACAAGCAGGAATTAAGGCAAAAAGAACCTATCCACTTAAGGAAAAAACACAAAATAACAGAAAGAGAAACAAGAACAAGAAGGCATTGAAGAAGAATTAAAAGAGAAATTAACATAGTTGAAGAACCTTTAGAGGAGAGCATATAGGCTCCAAACAAAAGAAACTGTAACTGAAATAATAGTCTGCTTGCTAATATACTAGCACACAATATACCTGATAAAATGAAAGAAGATTATATAAAATTCATCAGATGGTTTTTAAGAAACAACATATATGTTAAAGATGTTAGTGAAACCTTCAAAAAAGGAAACTTTTAAATAGAAATAGACTTTGACTACAAATATAAAAGAAATAAAGCAATAAAAAGAATCAGCAAAAAAGAAAATAATTGGTATAAAATAATATTAGAAGAAAAAGATAAAGTTAGTAAAAGAAAGCAAGCACAAAATAATAAGAGATACTAGAAGAAATAGAACAGTAAAGCAAAAAACAAAAAAGAAGAATGTGAATAAAAAGAGAATGAAATCAAGACAGAAGAAAACCAGTACAGAATAAGTAAAAAATTAGAGAATACAAACAATATAATGATTTGGAATCTTCCAACAGACATAAACAAGAAAGAGTTAGAGTACTTCTGTAGAAGATTTAGGAAAACCCACATAGTAAGAATTAAAAGGTTAAAATAAAAGGCCTTAGCAATTATACAAATAGAAGAAACATATAAAAATGTGCCATGGGCTATATTAGTAAATAATAACAAACTAGTATGAATAACCAAAAAAATAGAAGACTACAAAACAAGAGAAGAACAAAAAAGATATATAGCAAAACTGACAAGGCTACTAGGAAGTGTCTCAAAAATCTTACTATTACGTAGTTTGAAAAACAAAGAAGTTAAATTAGTTTACATATTCCCAAATAGAAATAAAAACCTAAGAAGAACTGCAACAGTTATGTTTGCAACAAAAGAAGATATGAAATCAGCTCAATCAAAACCATTTATATTTAATAACTTCTGACTTTACTGGGTAAAAGAAGGAAAAGAAGAAATAAGATAAAAAGAAAATTTTAAACAAGAAAAAGGAAGAAGCTAAAAAAGGTACAGCCAAACCTTTGATACAGATGAGAACAACATTAAAGAAGAAGAGCAAGAATTTAGGTTAAATATAAACAAAAGAAGAAAAGAACAAAATCAAAGAGTAAAAGATCGAATAACAGTAAACAGAGATTATACACAAGATCAAATAGCAGAAAAGAAAACAAGACATATAAACTTATCCAGAGAAGAAGACAGACCATATAGAAGGAAATTTGCTAAAACTGACATTCAAATACAAGAAGAATTTCTATATACAAGTGACATCCTAAATCAAATTCTGGAAAGACTCAAAAGATTAGAAAGCACAAGTAGTACAAAAAAAAGAAGTCTGATCTACTATTTCTAAGGGCACTACAGTTAAATCAATAAATATAGACTAGAAGATCAAAGAGTTTTTGGACAGTAAAAGAAGAGTCTATGAAAGAAGTAACATGAAATCATCTTCTGGTTATAAAAGAAAAACAAAGAAAAAAGGAGAAAAAAAGACAATAGACATAGAAACACAATATAAATATCTAAAAGACAAGTGAAAACAAAGAAAAAAAAAAATTAAGATTGCATGTTACAATATTAATGGACTTAAAACCAGTGTTGGAAATTAGAAAATCTTATAGAATGGGCAAATGAAGAAGAACTTACAATAGTAGAAATAACAGAAATAAACATTACAGAAAAAGAGAAATTTTTATTATATAATTTTAATATGCAATATAAGTGTTACTGAACTAGTGCAGTGACAGATAAGAAAAAAGGATTAGGCATAGAAATACTAATAGATAGCAAGTAGAAAAAGCACATAGAGGCAGTTAAAAGAATTAGAGAATATTTGCTAGAAGTAAGATTATATTTTAAACAATTAGAACTAATAGTATTAGGAATTTATATTCTACCTAATGACAAATCAATAAGTAAGAAAATTCAGCAAAAAATTATAGAAATAGTAACAAACAAAAAAAGGTATACAGAAATAGTCATATTAGGTGATTTTAATCACACAGTAGATAACATACTAAATAGACAATATCCACAAACAGCAAGCTACAAAAGACTACCAATATTTTGCTAACTCAAAAGACAAGACTTTATAAACTCATTCAGAAATATACATCTAACAAAAAAAGCATAC